TCTGTTTTTTAATATTTCGTTTCTACCACTGATAAATATATTTAGCACAAAACTAAAATGCCGAAGGGTTACGTAATAGGCCTCAAACATACTAATGTATGTAAAAACTAGTATATAGATAAATTTGGCAATTGTTAAAATTTCACAAATACTGATTTTCTTTAATACCGATAATTTGGAAATAAGCGTTCCCTCAAAAGTAATATGTACCGGATAAAATTATTCAGTAGTGGTAAATTTTGACTATCATGAGTTGACGGCGAGCACTGGCTGATGCTGAATGCAGTTATGAGATGAACTTCAAAAAACGTATTTTGCTTAATTAAATAAAGTAAATGCACCGGGAAGGGCAACAAACAATAATAAATGATGTAAGTTTAGTTTTAATAATTATGTCGGTGTATGCCTTTTAGTTTCGTGCAATATTTCATCGTGTTGTTCAGTATTTATTTATTGGTTATTACTATTATTTTTTTATTCACCTCGTATGATGAACGGGTATTCTGTTAGTACATTATAAATACTTCTTTGAAGGAAATATTTTAGTCCCTGTTTCCTAGGATGATACTCTTCCTTTATTTATTTATGTTATAAATCTTTTAAAATTATCAATAAAGCCTGGCTACTATATTTATCTATTTCAAAAATACTTATCATTCTTTCACTCGTGCTTAAAATAAAGAAATGAATTTAAAGCTTAAACTCTTAAAGAATGAGTCAATAGTGCTTAAAATATAATAAAAATTATGTTTTCATGAATTTAACTCAAAATGAAAAGTATTGCCACGAAAATAACATTTATGCCTTCCTGTGTACTGGGTATTTCGTAACGACCGCACTTAATATGTACTTTTTCATCCTAACCAAATTCAGAACAAAAATACGCATTTCGAGGGGGGGGGGTGCAAAATTTATATTTATCATCGAGAAAAAAAACGGTATCAGAATATGACTAATCACATATAACAAACATTGAAACAGGTTTAATTGGAGGTGTTTTCAATAATCGCCTCATATCTCTTATAAAGAATTTTATTTTACAAGTATAATTTATTTTTCAAAATAAGTCTTGAAAAATTATTTAAAAAAAAAAAAATTAGTTAAAATCGTATTAATTGTTTAAGTATAGGCAACCAGTATCAAAAGTTATATAAAGAGTTTTTTCTGATTTTAAAATGAATTTTTAATTCAAGTTACGTTAGATCAAAGCAGAACAACATATATACTATCAGAATACAGCATTTGAATATCAAAATGCTGCTAGAATAAAGAATAACAGTAATTACGACAGTTTGAATATTGTTTATATGTTGTATAATAATAAACTATGCATTGAATATAATAAACAATCTTTCTTATTATATTCTGACTTTTTGTTAGCATTATTCAAATTAAATTGGTGGGATTCGACTCTTTTCTATCTACCTTGAAACTTAAAATTTGTTTTAAAATCATATTATACCCCCCTCCCCATAAAACCTATTAAAAAAATTCGCATTCAAAATATTTGTGTAATAAATACTTAAAGTTTTAGTGGTTTTATATGTTGGTTGCCAACTTCTCTCTGCACACCCATCTTTGGTTTACATTCATAAAATTAAAGTTGGGTTGTTTTAACTTAACATTCAAAATTAACATTTAACAAAAAAAAAAGACTTCATTAATTTAAATAAAAAATATTTGTGATGTACAATCAAGCGACTGATATAGAATATTAACTTTAAAAAAAAATAAAGTTCAGTTTTTTTTTTTTAAGACGATTGCATTGATAAAACTGTATTAACTACAATTTCAGGTATGATGATTACTACAATTTCAGGTAATGATTTTTAAGTTAAATAAAATGCTAGACCACACTAAATGAGTAAGTTACTAACGAGTGTTTGGTATACGAATATATATATTATAAAGAAATTCTCTAAATTAAATAAATAGAAGTTTTCATTTGGAGGGATATATATATATATATATATATGGTATACATAGGTTACAATTTTCCTACCAATATTTTTTTTTAATTTTCCTTTTCATCTTAAAAAATATACTTCTTTTAATCTAAATTAAATAAAGCGCGCGAAAGCAACCAATCAATCAATTTTTTTTGTATTTAACTTTAAACACAAACAATAAAAAAATTTCCTCAAAGCATTCTCATGAAAGAAAGGATGTGAATAAACCCCTATTAAGTTAGAAATAGTATAGAGAAAACATGGATAAATATTTTTAACGAGAAGAAGACAAATTATTAATAAATAAAATCATTTTTAAAAAGTATTTAAAAATTTTTAGAAAATAAGTAAAAACCGGGAAAATAAAGTAAAATTAAGAAAAAGATATAATCTCTTTAATTTAATATTTCCATGCTTTCTTTCCATATTTGTCCATGTTAAACGCTAAACTTATTTTATGTGTGCCATGTATCTACCGCTTACACGCAGTAAATGAAACTTATTATTATTTTTCTTAATTTTCTTCGAAATTNTCTTTTCAGAGAAATCGACTAAATTTTGCTATCTTTTATAGTTAGTGAGATATGAATTTTTAAAACCCCGGAGTTCTTTTATAGACACCCTGTATATATATATATATATATATTATAAAATTAGACGCTAATTGAAAAGTTTTAAAATGTAATTTGTCATTTAGCTTGCACGCAAAATGTTAAATTGAGTAGTTTCATGAAGAAGAAAAAACGCATTAAAACAATTTCTATCTCTTTCTAAATATATATTTACGTAAATAAGAAAAAATTAAAATTGCACTTAAAAATAAGTCACGAGCAAAAAATCTTACTAGCACTCTAAAATAATTGATAAAAAAAATCATAATCTTGTGATCAAAGCAAATATTTTCTATTAGATGCTCTCTAGTGAACCATTATTTAGTTCCTGAAATTTATTTAACTATTTTATTTTATTTAAAATAAAATATTTTTTCAAATTATTCTTTTCAGTTGAAATAATTATTGATACAATATTTTTTTTAAATATAAAATACAGACATTTGTGATTGCATTTCGTTTGCAGTTTGGGCGATTGAGTACTGTCATATGACCGACCCAGGGTTTAAAGAAATGTCTCATTTTAACTTCTCAATTATTTTTTTATTTTAACTAAATTAAAAATAGATTTTATTTACAAAGAATGCATCGAAGAGTCTATTGGAATAAATTGTAAATGTATGAACAATTCAGCAAACAAAGCAATTTTTTAAAAGCGAATCAATTCTAACATTGCTTGAGTGATTCCCATGTATTTTATCTATTGATACATACATCTATATTATTCATTGAAAATCAAGAAATTTGCAGTTTTCAAATTTATTTTGTGGCTTATGTATAATATAAATTTACCATATTTTTAAATGACTGAATTTTACCCAACATCATTTAAATGAAACATATTCTTAAATAACAAAAAATAATCAATAAGTATAGAGCTTCAGAGAATAACTTCAGGTTTACGAATAATAAGACTAAGAAAATGATTAACACTTTTGAAAAGGTTAAAAGTTCGAGAAATTAAAACTAATTCAAAATTTGCTAAATTACGGTTTAAGTCTATAAGTTAATAACTTAATAGTCCGTTATGAACCAAGTAAAATTAAATATTGTTGCGATAAATATTGAAATCTATTTTTCTGCTCTCTTTCTTAACTTATCTTCTAGTGTCCAAATTGTATACAGAAGAAGATGCGTGTGCCTCATGTATAGTAATTAAATTATTATAAGCACTAGAATGCTATGATTAGAAAGAAACATCCTGTATGATTAGAAAAGAAGAAAAAAACAGTTCTTTGGCTCTGCTAGATAAATTTTGAAAAAAATATGGACATATTCTATAAGTGAATGCGAAAAATAGTTACAGAATACTAAATTGAATTTAAATAAAGGATTTTAAAAAAGAATTTTAAAATAACGCAGAGCATAACCAACAAGAAAAGAAAAAAATCTTATTTTCATTCCCCCTACCCCGTTATTTAAATTATAAAAAAAATGTAAATAATGAAGAATTATTTTAGTACAATACCAATAGCAAAATAAAACTTTAATCTGAAAACAGAATTTTTTTTTTCGCTGAAGACTAACTTAGAAAAATATACCTACACCTAACTCATGCCTAGCGAAGTAACATAGCAGTGATAAATTCAATTTAATATGCAGTTCACTTCAATATATAATTGCATAAAATTAGATCAGTTAAGGGAAAGTTTATCCTCTCAAAATAAAGTACACATTGAAAATTTATTCACAGAGAAACAATTAAAATCTCTTCATATTGAAATGTATCAAACCATTAAATCAGTGAAGTATAGCAGACACTAAAATTCCTTTTACAAACAACAAACAATTTAAAATTTCTTCTGAGTGAGTAAAATGTAGCAAAAAATTTCTATTCACAAAGAACAAATAATTTATAATCTCTTCTGAGTGAGTAAAATGTAGCAAAAAATTTCTATTCACAAAGAACAAACAATTTAAAATCTCTTCTGAGTAGGCAAACTGAAGCAAAAAATTTCTATTCACAAAGAAAAAATAATTTTAAATGTCTTCTGAGTGATTAAAATGTAGCAAAAAATTTCTATTCGCAAAGAAGAACAAACAATTTAAAATCTCTTCTGAGTGAGTAAAATGCAGCAAAAAATTTCTATTCACAAAGAAAAAATAATTTTAAATGTCTTCTGAGTGAGTAAAATGTAGTAAAAAATTTCTATTCGCAAAGAACAAACAATTTAAAATCTCTTCTGAGTGATTAAAATGTAGCAAAAAATTTCTATTCGCAAAGAAGCACAAATAATTTAAAATCTCTTCTGAGTGAGTAAAATGTAGCAAAATATTTCTATTCATAAACAATTTAAAACCTCCTCTGAGTGAGTAAAATGTAGCAAGCAATTAAACTCTAATAAAACTGCGTTCAGGCAATTAAATTTTACGCTAATAGGGGAAGTCTTATATTCTCAGTGAATAGGTAAGAAACGAACCATTAAAGAAAGACACCTACCTGTGTCATAAGTCTATCGGCTCCAGTTCCCTCTTCGTCTCGAAATATAATATCCGAATTGTAATTTGGAACAAGCACGCTTTTAAATTTTGGATGGTCTCTGGTCAATTTTCCTTCAGACTGACCACTTGCACCTAACGTAAATTCGTTCACGTTTGGAACATGCTGCTTAAAGACCAAAGGTGTTAATTTTCGCGGTGGCCTACGTCGTCCGCCGCCCCTCAACGGCCCACAACTGCTGGCCGAATTCACTAATGCGGCCAGGCACAGTACGGCTGCCAGAGTATGGAACATCGATCCTTGGAATCTGTGGTTCTACCCGTCTATGGCATCCATTTCGATTCTGAACTGACGGCATTTATGGGTGTACCGATCTCTCTCAAACAGCCTATTGGTTCTGTTGACACGACTCTCTTTTCTTTTGCGACTATCCCAGGCACACAGACACCCCCTGATAAGGACCTCCCCCCCCTCCCTCTCTCCTCATCTCTCAAAAGGAAAAAGAGTTTTTATATGATTTGTTCCTAGGAATGTCGATTACTTTATTTTTGGCAGGTGACGTTAACTCGCTTTTCTTCTTTTTTTTATTTTTCTCTTCCTAATTGCAGTTTTTTTCTTCTTTTTATCACATTTGTTTTTCTTATTTTTTTTGATTTTTAAGTTTAGTTACATATATAGTGAGAATAAAAAATTTTAAAAAAAAGTTTTTTTTTTTTCTGTCTCAACGGTGGAGAAATCGGACATTTTTTTTTTTTTTTTTTTTTTAAAANTTTTTTTTTTTTTTTTTTTTTTTTTTTTTTTTTTTTTTTTTTTTTTTTTTTTTTTTTTTTTTTTTATCTACAACTTTTATTGTTCAAACTAGTCATTAAAAAATTAATTAGTCACATTGATGATAATTATTGAGTTCATGAATATTATAATGAAGTAAATTAATTTCTTCAAATACATATATAACACAATAAAAAGACAAAAAAAAAAAAAAAAAAAAAAAAAAAAAATAAAAAAAAAAAAAAANTTGTCGAAGAAGATTAAAAAAAAATAATAATTTGTTATATATACTGCGCATAAGCTGCAAGTACATAGAACCCATGAAATAAGTTTAAAATACAAAGAAAACATGTAAAAAAATATATATTAAATAGAAGAAAATTAATATATTTTCTTTATTTTTATTTCATTTTTCGGCTTTTTAATTTATTTTTCTAATTTTTAAATACTTTTTAGAAATCATTTTATTTATTAATAATTTTTCTTCTTCTCTTTAAACGATTTTTCTTCCATGTTGTATTTTTAACTTATTCACAAAATTTAAATAAATTTCTTTTATCAAAATTTTTTGAAGAATTTTTTTATTATTGTTTATACTTAAAATTAACTACAGAAACTTGATTGATTGGTTGCTTTCGTTCGCTTTATTTAATTTTGTTTAAGTAGGTAGTTACTTAATTTAAGAGAAGCATATTTCAGAAGGAAAAAGAAAAAAACATTGGTGCAGAAATTGTAACCTATGATATACCGTTAAATTGTCAACTTAATCCGGATAAAGTTATAGTTAAACTATTCTAAGCTTGCTTCACTAGAAATTTCTCTCTTCCTTCTTCAATAATATCACATAAATTAAAATATTTATAAACAATAAAAAGTTCGTCATGGATTTTTTTAACTGAATATGAGGATTTTTCTAAAAGCATTTTTGTTCCATGTCGGCAATACGATGGTTCTGCACTGTTACTTAAAGGAAATTACAGAAATGTGCAATATACCTATCGAGAAACAATACTAAAAAACTATTTAATGAAGAAAATGTATCACTCTTTCAACTTCAACTGTTTCACTTACTTAACCGCCACGAAAAAATTTTCTGAAGAATACTTTGTGGGAATCCCATTTTCTATAAATTTTGTTTATAAAATGAATTTAAATTTTAAAATGAATTATTGATTTTTTATAGCACGCACAATCAAGCATTGCCAAGCATACATCCATGTGTGATTTTGGATGGCAATATCACATAATTGTTCCGTAGCTCAGTTGAAACTTCAGCTTTTTTTTGTTTAAATCTGTAAGCTCTTTTATAGTTTAAAACTATCTATTTTATTATTTATTCATTCTTGAAGATATTCTTTTTGGAAAATTTGTCTTTGAAAAGTATGTTTGTTAACATATTAGTCACGTTGTTTGTAGCTTATTGACTGACAGTTGACATTAATTTTATACTCTACTTTAGAATCACATATATGATAAAAATTTTATATTTAAATATCACCTTCTAATAAAAGATAAATTAATTATCACTACAAAACTATGTATGTTTATGAGTATAGTAAAGTGCGGCGTGCTCTCTGCTTTCGCTTATAGTACTGCGTTTTAATAGGTAAGGCTTAATTTAGCCTAACAGGATTTATTTGAGCTCTGAGGCTCTTCATCAAATTTGACATGCTACCACGAAGTCCAAGATTTCGATCGCAAATGTTTATGTTTATTATGTAATATTAAAAAAAAATTCATTCATAAGCGCACCACCTATTGCGAATCTTAATATACATAAAAATCTAACGAGGGTGTCACAGTTTGCATTTTTATTGGCAGGAAAAATTACGTGGTAGGATCCAGTTTTCCCAGATTAATTTCCATATTAGTTTGGTTGTCATCAGCATAAAATTGATATAAATCATAAAGTTATTGTTTTCCTATAAATATTTTTGTTCACCTAATTTAAAAGTTAAAATTACCAGTACAGTTATTATTTCGTTTTTGATTTTGTTTGATTTCTACATTAACTGTTTAAGAGGATTGTTTTAATTCTTCTTCTTATTATTATCAGAATAATGTAATTTTACGTTACTTTTTAAGATAAAGTTATTTAAATCAGTGTCTTATCTTACTAACCATTTTACAATAATTATTTTTTGGTGCAAATTTCACTAATATACTATTATGAATTACGGTTAAATAATTTAGAGCTTAACTTCTTGCTACACGAGCGAAATAATAAATGTATTTAAATTACAGCCAACCATTTGGCAAGCAAGAAATATTGAAAGACAATTGTGAACTCACCAAATTTGTTATAACAATTTATACTTTTAATTTTAAATCTTATTTCAAGAAATGATTACTTAGAAAAATAATTTATGTTCACTTATATATCTTAATAGTATCATAAGGGAAATATTTAGACATGGGAAGTGGAGGCACAAATGTTCTTTTTTGTACATAATATTTTTAGTTGAATAACTTCAACCGTCTTTTGCCAAGAAACAGCAATTATTGAGAAGCAATAATCAGGGTTGGTGATTGTTGCACCCTATTACAGTTAATTTTTCTTTCAATTTTAATGTGCCGAAAGGGCATTTTTATTACCAAATTATAAAATAATGTGTAGCAGTTTTTGGTAAATTTTGCGTTCTTGCAAAAAGCGAGTTTCTTTTCTTTTTGTCATTAATAGATGGAAAAAAACTTAGTTCCAAAAGTTGATAAACGGACTTTTCCCAGTAAAGGAAGGTCCCTGCCTCTGTATGTGGTCGGGAGAAATTTATTGAGCCACAATAGATAAAACATTAGTAATACGGGAAAAATGCCACACAAGAAAATATGAAATCGAGACTTCATTCTACTTTTAAACATCAATCTTTTTAGTGTTATCAGAGCGGAAACTACGTCATGGGGGACATTTTTTCTAATTCCGATAAATGTAGCCAACCGAGTTTCACCCACTTTTTCTCGATAATGATAATTACAAGGAATTAAAAATAAATGAATTTTGTAAAATTCTTTTTACCATGTTTCTTAAGATACATTTTTTTATTATTATTTAATGTCATTAAAAAAACATACAAAGCAAAGATATATTTTCTTTGTCATTAAAAAAGTTATTTTTAACTGTGTTTATGGAAAAATGACTAGAAATCTTTAATAAAAATAAATAACTTTTATCGCAATTTTGAAAGTGATCGGAAACTTTAAGAGATTATTCAAAGATAAAAAAATAAGAAAATATTCAAAGTTCAACACATAATGAGAAAGACAATTCTGTAAGAAATATTTATTAAAACAGCTGAAAAAGTAATATAACGCTTAAATTACGTTAGATTTTGCGTTAAAATTTTACAAACTGTAATGGATATATTAATAATTCAAAATATAGGTTTCGTAATATTTAGCAACTATGACTTTTAAAACCACGATGTTCGGGAGAAGTAGATACTGAAAAACAATTAACTCATTTCTTAGTTTAATACAGATAATGACCTAAAAATGTGCCTCCTTATAAAAAAGTATAGAATTAACAGTTTTGGAGCAACTGTGGGGTAACTAAGACTATTACAAATGCAATGATTTATTTATTTATTTTGTTCGAAATGAAGGGCCTGAATAATCGTTTAATTAAAATTGTTTAAGTGCAAAAGTATCTTTTCTTTTCATTCAGTAAGATTAACAAAATTTTTGTGGGGATAAGTATTTTAAAATTCAAAAATTTGTTGCAAACTCTGAAATTGAGACCCCTTCTGTTGTTATCGTGATTCAACTGATTATTACTGAACAAACAAAGTAATAATTGTAAATAATGAGGCAAATAAAAAATATAGTAAAAATAAAAAATAAAAAAAACCTGAGACTATTGATTACGGCAACAGAAGTTAGAGCTAATGTCTTTTTTATCCTTGAGGTTTTTTTTTCTTTCTTTTTTTTTCTAATTTATTAACAAACTTATATTTTTTATTCACTTTTTTTTCCTTATTTTTTCACTCATTTACTTACCATATCAAGAATAATTTTTAAAGCGATTAGTCCGTATAGCAACAGTTGCAAGAGCAATGCGCTATACATTTTTGAAAAATATTTCATTTCATTTTATATTCATCGTTGAACAGCCGACCCAATTTCTGGGTTTACGACTACTAATGTTCAACTCCGTAGCCCTCTAATTTTGAACCAATCCAGAAGACAAGGAAACTCCTGGATCAATACCCCCAGAGGTACGATTTGTTATGTGAACATGGAGGACTTTGTGACTCGTCAGACTTTACGTGCATCAGTCACCATTTACTACACGAGGAGTCTTTGGGCGAATGGGATCGAACCCATGATCTCTTGTACCCTACCAACCAGGCTCTCAAGGCCATTTTGATGAATATTAAATGAGTCTCGATAAAAATATAATCCTTTCTTCTGAGACTAATGTACGCTTAAAAATTTTTTTGCATTTTTTTTTTTACTTCTTTCGCACAACATTTGTTAATTTGTGATTACAAGATTTCTGTTCTTCGTCTTAGAATCAAACTTCTTAACAAAAATTAAAAACTTGTGATAATTGATTCGAACTTAACAAATAGTATTTTTTTAAAATTCATTTTACAAATTATATGTTACAGAAAATTTTAC